TATCAATTGTCTTATCATCCAACAACGGAGGTATGTAAGGGGATCTAAAAACTAACTCTATAAGGCATGCAGCGAACCCTTAACATTGTAAATAAGAAGTAATAATACGAGCATCGACCATTGGGATTCACGCTTTTCGACCAACCGACCAATAGGAATCGTGCTCTTCGCAGAGTTTCCACTGCGACCCTTTCGAAGAGTGCAATACCTCTCCCAGTAATTGTCGCACAATCGCGTCACAGAGTAATTTTTAGACCCCCCTTACATACATGAATAACGAGGTGACTTTGTTCGTCCGTGCGAGGAAAACGATCTGCTTAAACTTGGTGAATTTGTGGAAGGAGTTTCCTTTCTTTCCACACGCAACGAAAATATTACTCTAAATTTGCTCAATATGTATTCATAAATACAACTTCAAATTCATAAATACAAATAGTCATTGTGCTGTACAAAAGTGCATGAAATGGGTGTGTCTGATGGGTGTTTTGTTCGGATACCTTGAACCACAAGTAATACCGGTAAGACTAAACTATTAAAATAATTTTTTTTACAAATCTGCACTTATCGTTCACAATGTTTCTTGTTAGTATTAATATTTAACCTCTCACTACTAGACTTTTTTGCCCAAATTTTTCTGCACTTTTTTTCTTATAGCCAACAGACAATTTTCAGTTTTACTCAACAAAATTGGCTAATTTTGTCACAATCTTCCGACGGAAAGTGCAGACTATAAACAGGAATATTTTGTGAGGGAACTGGTAGTGAAGAGGTTAAGAGATCTGTGAAAAGCTTTGAATGAAATCCTTAAAATTTTCCCAGCAGGCATGAAACTGCTTCTGTGTCGTTTTTGTTTTGATTTATCACGCTAGCACTGGGGGTGTATTTTTGTAAACATTGGTCACATGCAAACAGTGTGATTACTGGTACACATAGAGTCCGGTGGACTCTAACCGCTGTTATACCACAGTCTATCTATCACTGATATTTTGGGTGTACGCATCAAGCATCAACATGTAGTTCATGAGAAAAAAGTATTTAGAATATACCGGTAAATTCATTTCCAATTTATTTAGTAATACCTTGCCGATGATTATTATTATCATTCATTATTATACATGCCAGAAACAACTAATAGAATTGAGCCGTCGTCCGTACAAACTTGTGTGAATGTATCCTGGTGTTTAGGGGTGTTACATTTACGTCATATTCAAACATCTTCCTTTGTTTACATCAGCAACTGCAACAATGTAGCACCTGAGAGAAATAGAATATTTTTTCTAAACACAAATGTAGACAGGAGTGAACACAGCATTGCTGGTGATTAAATTACGACTCAATTAAAACAACAAATCAGGGAAAGTTACTATAAATATGGTTCCGTATCACAAAAAAACGCACTCAGACAGTACAAATGTATGTGATGGAATTTTTTGCCATACTGCCTTTGTGCATAATTGGCAGTATTTTCATTATAATTTGATATTAATATGATATTATTTTATTTCAGGCATACAGGGTAAATGTTACAATTTCAGGACGAACTCATACCGTGGATAAACGATACAGCGAATGTCATGCTTTGCATAAACAAGTAAGTGGGAGTTAAGGTAGCGAGAAGGGTTTTGTAATGTCTTTGAATAAAACATTCTCTGCCTGTTGTCTCGTTCAGAACAGTAATTTAGCTTATATATTTCAAAAGACTAAGTTTAAAGGTACAAGTTTGCATAAACTGGACAGTCATTGTTTACATAATGATCACGTGACATCAAAAAAGGCGGACCTTGTAAAAATGACTAAGTCCGCGATTGCGAGAGCACACTGTGGAATTTCCTGTCGAAATTTACGTCATGCATTGTCCGTAATCAAGTGCATTGAAATGTGTCCCTGGTAATCAAAAGACCTATTATTCCGATTTCTATGCAGGTTTGTTTTTTTGTCCCCACATTATTTCATACTTGACACCTTCAACAGACTATTATTCTGTGACAAAGCATTTTCTTTAAAAACCCAGACATATTTCGCACCATCATTAACTTTTGAACGATAACTGCGAGTTTGAATGTCCCAGTCCGAACGCACTTGATTTGGCGGCGGTCCCAATGAGTCGTACTCGATCAAAACTTCAACTCGAGAAAAACGCGAAAAACATTTTTGGTTTATAAAACACTGTACATTTGCTGCATTATTATAAATATACACTAAAAATGGCCAAACATATTAACCACTGATATCATAGAACTCATACAGAATGTCAGATTATGAATAATTTCAAGCTCGAGCGTGAAAAATGAAGAAAACCGCTGGCATTTGAGTCCATACTTCTGGAACGTTCAGGTTTCCATTGTTATGCAAATGAACAAAGAGGGATAATCCTCTGACAAACATCACTGTCCCACTGTACACGCTGACAGTTTACAAACAAGCTAATCCTTCAAGTGTCTCTGATAAGAGATCTAATAAAACGGTTTTCATGGTGAAACAAAATGGCACAAGAGTGCGACACTGAGTTGCAGATTTTTCTTTGCCTCGTCTGTCAACGCTGTTTCTTTCCTTCGCCATTGCGTTAGAAAAAATGGTATTAGTAAAATAGAATATCGACTTGGAAAATAAAACAATTTAAAAGAAAGTTGCGCAAAGTTACAGTACTTATTTCGCACAACCTCCCGCCCGCTTCCTCTTTCCAATCATTTTTTTCTTTCGCTTTTGCGACCGCTTGTTGAATTCGATCGGACAATTTACGCTTTATTTTCGACCGCGCAAACCCGAGTCGAGTCTTCGCGATGTGTTTTGTATAATTATTGTTTTCCCTCGAGGCAAAGACAAGCTGAAGGACCATGAAGCTAAATGGCAGTTCCATGCATGGGCTGAGTGAAAGGAAATATTTCTAAGCCTAAAATAAAACCTAATATTACACCTCTTTGTGTATTTGTTAATTTCACATATGTTTTTCATGACAGTATGTCTGTAAATATCTAGAAAAATCTCGTCTTTCGTTGATAATTTCGATTGTTTGGAATGTCTGTCGATCGTGTCCCAATAATTTGTTTGGAAAGTCGATCCCAGTTGGTTTCTCCATACTGAGTTTAGGAAAGGCATCGTTCAACACAATCAGCCGAGACAGGACAAACATTGACCCTAATCATTCATGGGGACCATGTCCGTAATTTGTGGGCTGAAACCCTGAATAAACAAGTATTAAATTATTATAATATATATTTTATTTTACATCGCTAAACTACAACAGAGCTAGAGTTGTTCGCGGTGAAACAGCCGCATTGAAGACGATCAGATGCAACTTCAACCAGCCATTTCTTACCTTGAAATAAAAAAAATAAAAATTCAACGAAGAGCATCGGAGAAAATATTAATAATCATTCTTATCAATCGCTTGCTTTATTTTATTTGAATCCATGAAATTCACTAGTTTTTTGACATTTGTTGGCAACTTCCGCGCTAAAAAAGATGTGGGTGTGGTTCTTTTGGAGGTCCTGTTGATAATACGGACAAATATGGTTCTGTGACCCAGGTCTGCTCCGAATATGTGACTTTCAGCCAATCAATGATGTTGTAACAAAGCATATTTGACGCTAATTGAAGGGTCGTCTACCATCATCCAATTTCCGGCGTGTTTTTATGCTGTGGGAGGCTTCAAAATTATTCGCTGAAAAACATTGATATATTTTGCCGGGTGGAATTTGACCTCAGTTCAAAACGAAAATACTAGGCTGAGATGCATTAGAGTCCACGGCGAATCAGATTTCTCTGCAAGTTGGGAAATAAAGTAAACCAGAGTAAGGTCGGTGATTTTCAGCCCTGAAGGACTTCCGTGTGAATCCTGAGCTTTGAGTTTTTCATCGACTGGCCACCAAATATTTATGGCTATAACTAAATTTGACACGTTTTTTTAAAGCCCAATAAATTATTCATACATGTTCTGTTCGATTTTGTCAGGGCATGTGTTTTTAGTCGAAAATATTTTTTTGTGGGAACACTTTACGGTATACGTACGGGCGTAGGTATACGGTATAGACTGAACTCATTCAATGATCGTAACTTATTTTTGAAAATGTCATGAATGTCAAATTTTACCAGACCGGCCGACGTGGATTTAGTATCGTTATTTTTGGAATTAATCATTAACATTTCCTCATTTCTCTACTCTGTCAAAATGCTTTTTTCACGTAAGTGTCTCATTAAAATAATAAAAAATATTACATCTAGAACAAGCACCCAAAACACATAACAAGAGGTTCCAGTTCAGTGATCAGTGTTTGGGCGAGCGGTCAGTGTTTCAATGAGCGAGCGAGCGAAAAAAAAACACAATTAAAATGTGGTCGGTTTCCGGTTGGACAAGACCACATGGTCGGAAATTAAGCATTTAATAAGTGGTCGATGTAAAAGCGGAAGGTTGGGTGAAATGAGTACTGTATGCCCGGACTGTATGACCATGTTTCTCCGACGAAGTCTCGACTGACAATAATGCTGATAATGGACATTAGATAAACACGCATTGTTTGCGACAGGAAGCTTATCACCTGTTATATCAGAATCGCCAACAACAGAGTATACAGATAAGATGTTATCATTTGATCCTTTCCAAAGATAGACATTATGCAAATATCTATGAAACGGCAGTCTTTTCTGCTAGCGTCTTAAAACACTAATTTAAGCAACGTTATTTCACAATTTCGATCTTTTGTAAACCTGGGTTGATGTATCAT